TCACACACAGCCCCTGTCACACACAGCTCCTTTGTCACACACAGTTCCTCTGTCACACACAATTCCTGACACACACAGTTCCTGTCACACACAGCTCCTCTGTCACACACAGTTCCTGACACACACAGTTCCTGTCACACTCGGTCCCTCCATCATGCGGAGGGCCCCTGAAGGAAGCTGCGCCATGTGCCCAGTCGCAACGCAGGCGCTGGTTCCGCGCCACAGCGTGCAGCTTCAGGCCCTCTCCTGGAAGCCCGGGCAGCAGGCACAGAGCTGGGTGGTTCCGTGTGGTGTTCGTTCCACTTGTTGCTTAATGGTAGCTTGGGGCAGTAACTTGACTGATGCCATGAACAGACATCAGAGGGACCAGAACCAGGCCGGGTGGTGGGCAAAAGATACGTGAGAAATAGACACTCTGGCAACACGGTGGACAGCCCAGGGCTGGTGGTCAGAAATTAAGTTTAATCGCTTCTTGGCCTTTTGGCTAAGATCAAGTGTAGAAATTAAGTTAAACAATAAGAGGATTCACAGGAGATTGGGCCACAGCAGGTGGCCTGACAACTGACTGGGTGGCAGCAGCAGGAGATGCAGTAGCTGACCTGTAACAACTAGAGACGCAGCAGGTGGGTCTGCAGCAGCTGGGTCTGCAGCAGCTGGGCTGGCAGCACTGGGGCCTGCAGCAGCTGGACACGCAGCAGCTGGGGCGGCGGCAGGTGGTCCTGCAGCACGTGGTCTGGAAACAGCTGGGCCGGCAGCAGCTGTCCTGGCCACAGCCCTGCTCAGAGCAGACGGAGCCACACCAAGAGCTGACCATGGTGTCGGCAGCTGGAGGTTCTATATAAGCTACCAGAGAGGGTTAGTGTTCTGAATTTGGGAACCTCTTTGGCCCCTGTCCCCTTTTTCTCCCCTGCTGAGAGAACTTCTTCTTCTTACCGTTTACCTGAACAGATAAGCAATTACCAAATTAGAAAATCATAGACAGTCTTTCTTGCAGTGTCAGAATGCATTTTCCTTCTGTACAGTCTATCTTCAGCCTGATCTTTCTTAACCCATATTTATGTCTCTTTCTTGCAGTGCATCCCCTAATTTCCAAGTCTGCACCTTCCCGAATGGCTGTCACAGGACTGGCAGTTTGTCGCTAGGAGTCAATCTATTCCTCTTTCAACTATGACTCAACCTAGACCCATGCTGGCAGTCTCATGAGTGCAGGACATACACCAGGTAGGACAGGAATTCAGGGACTTCAATGCAAGAGAAATAATTCCCAATTTGGGATGATGGTGGGAGGGTCTGCATGGAGGAAGAGCTCCACGAATGAGCCACTTGTGAGCAACCAGGAAGGGTGTGGCTTGAGGCACGGGTTAGCAATTAGTGTGTTGGAAAAAAGATTTCCAAGCAACGCCTTGTGAGATTTCCTTCTGTCATTAACTTGTCACTCTAGGAATCAAATTTGCATATGAAGTTATTGTATCACTTTTTTCTAAATTACCCAGTGATACATAACAGGTACTAATGCAACCTTGAAAATCTACATTTTTAAAGAACTGCCCAGGTGCTCTGGGAAGATGCCCAGGAGAGTCTAAGGCAATGACCTTCTCTTCCAATTCTTTGCTGGTGCAATCCCAACCTGTAAGAAGATGGCCTGAAGGCAAATGCACTTGAGACTTCATCTTCTCAAGAAGACATAACAGGAATAGAGACATGGGGGTGGAGGTGTCTTGGTTACTTTTCTCTTGTTGCTGAGACAAAATACCCGATGTCCAAAACTAAGCAAGGAAAGGTTTACTTAGCTCACAGATTGTGGAGGTTTCAGTCCATACTCACCTGGCTCCAAGGCCAAGGGGCACATGCAGAGGGCAACAGTTCACGGTGGGGAGAAAACAGCAAAAGCAACAAGAGCAAAGGGGAGGAGAGGCAGCTAGAAGAGCAAGACTCTTCCCCTCCCTTACATTGCGTGCAGGTTTCCCGCCCCAGGGTGGATGTAGCACTCACACCCACAGTCCCAGCATTGGACCATGGATCAATCAGAAACTGTAGAAGCCATCCCCATGACTGCATGAGGCTTTGAGGGGACATCCAGACACAAACCGTAACAGAAGGCATAGTTTTACACAAAGTGAGAACGATCGGGCACTCAGGGGTTTGACAGGCAGTCAGTACTTCTGGTGGAACTTGCGTGGTCATCCTGCCACTGGACGAGGGAGCGATTGCTCTGAGCCACACGGAGACCGAGAGTGTGGGGAGCTGCAGCCCCTGCTTGCTTGCTCTCTGCAATGCTTCAAAAGCTCGCTGACATCCAGTGGCTGCGAAGGGAGGTGCACTAACAGATCTACGTGTTCCTCCCAGTTAAAGAACAAGGCCTCCGAGTCACAGCGGTGAAGGCTATTTGCTCTCGATGGAGCAAAGGTTACCACCTCCACCCCATCTTGTGCATGCACAAGAGGCTGCACGTCAGGAGAAGGAAGCCGCGAGGATGCAAAGGGAGACCCAGCAGAGCACCCACTAGTAGAGCCAGAGGGCTCCTTTGGAAAAAGCAGGTCCTCACCCTGGTCCCCACACAGAGGGATAGGGCTTCTGCCCGCAAGGAAAAGCAGCCATAGGACCAACAGTCGCACCACTGCCAGCAGAGACTGGCTTTCCCTGGGTTGAGTGTGAAGGACTCCAGGACAGAGAGCCATTGAGCTGGTGTGGGGAGCAGTTAAAATGAGGCTGGCCATTGTGTGAGGCAAGCATGAGGCCACAGGGAATCCAGAATTTTAGTAAAGACGTCCAGGAAAGAGGCAGCCAGAGAGCTCTCCTGGGATTGCAGTTAACCCCAAAAGCAGCTGTGCAATCGAGTTGTACATATTTGAGTGTGTCTTCTCCTTTCTTCCATTAACTAATTTAAAAAGCAAGCACATGAAACACTATGAAAATAAGTGTATCTGGGGGGCTGTGCCAACTGGAAACACAGCATGTTTAACTGAAAGAACAAAACAGCACAAAGGAAACACAGAAGGAAGCAAAGCTGTGTTAGAGTAGGGTAGTGATATCAGGTGATAACTTGAATCTACAGGAAGATGCAAGGAGACCCAAAGTTACCTGACAGATTAACACAACTCTACAGGTAGATATGTGTTCTCCTTCCTTTGCTTACCTTGTTTAAAAGGCATAAGGTCTGTAAAATAATCATTATTATAACAATATTTCATTGAGTTTTGAACATATATAGATTAATATGTACAATAACAATAACACAAAAAGGGGGTTCTAAAGCTATATGAGAATAAAGGTTCTAGATTTCACAAAGACTGAGTCAGTACAATTCTGAAGTGCATTCTGATCAATTAGCAGTGATGGCAAACCTTTTAGAGCTTTCAGTGGTAACAGCCACTGCGGTATGCGTGCCATAGATTTGCCACCACTGAATTAGGGTGAATATCTTAATCCTTAGAATACACACACACACAGAGACACACACACAAACACATGCACACACACATACACTCTTAAAGAAATTTAAATGTTGCACTGCAAAATGCCTATTCTATAGAATAGAAAAGAATACAGAAGGCAGGCTGTTCATGTGAGAGATCTAGAGTCTAAGAACATAGAATAGTGATAAATAGACATTGACAAGGGTAGGTTGAGAAGGGAAAGGTGGGTAAAGGAAGGTTGCTTTTGATCAGTGTAATCTACATGGATGTGCACTCCACTGACCATGACTGATATTTGGGATAAGGAACTTGTATCCACAATACATAAAGAACCCTTACAACTCAATAATACATGACAAATAATCCAAGAAAAAAATGAAAATATAACATAGAACATAAATGTTTATAATAAAACTCTTACAGTAGCTACAAAGAGGAAATAACCCAAATATCCACCACTGATAAATAGCATGTAATATATCCATATCATGGAATATTATACATTACTCACAAATAGAATGAAGTGCTGCTACATAGTAGGATATGGATGAACCTTGAAAATAATATATTAAGTGAAAGAAGTCAATCCCAAGAAAACCCATCTTACATGCATCTATTTATATGAATGTCCAAAGGGTTAGCCTATAGAGACAGAAAGTAGACTAGCTCCTGCCTACAATGGAGAGGAGCTGAAAATGACAGCCAATAGATATGAAATTTTTTCACAAGGAGACAAAAAAAAGTGATAAATGTTGGTGATAGTTGCACTACCCTGTTTATAAAAAAAATAATACATTGTATGCTTTATTTTTTTAAAGAGTAAAAGATTCTTAAAGAGTAAAAGAAGGACAACATAGCAATAGGGGGATTCACTGAATTACAGACAAAGTGGTAGGATATTATCAATGGTTGTTATTGTACTTATTGGTATCTGCAATTTCTCAGGAAAACACATAAACAAATAATAATGAGTTACAGACAAAAATGGCAGGAAATTATCAATGGTTGTTGTACTATATCCTGGTTTCTCCAAAGTGGTCCAAAAGCAACTTGTAGCACATTGTGAGCTTTAAAGAGCAAGTATGAGTCTATCTCTATGGCACTTTTGGTGGTTATAGCTTTTATGGCTTTTTTTTTTAGGCCCGCTTTGGTTTTTTTCATAGCTTTTATTAGATGATCTATGGTTTGGGATTTTTAAACTTTTAAGGTCTCTAGTGTATCTTTTGTTTTGTATTTATAGTTTTATATATTGTCCTCTCAGGGGCACACTGCCTGGCCTCTTAGGCTTTATGAAATCTGGATGGAAGCCTTTTTAACTTATAACTCTTGTATTTTTTATGCATTTAAAGTTAGGGCCACGTGGATGATGCCAGTGTTTGTTGCCACCTGGAGCAGTAGCCAAGCTTTTTTTTTTTTTTTTTTTTTTTTTTTTTGGCCATAGGGGTTGAGTGCCTGGGCACTCTGAATCTAATTCTGAGGAACAAATTTTTTATGTCGCCACCATTTTGGAACCTGGTGTGGCCGCTGCTGTTATTTTGGAACATGGCGCTCTGCAGCTTTATTTTTAAGGCAAAGTCTTTTACCTTTGCAGTTTTGAAGCTGTGAAGGGTGGAGACTTGCTATTTGTGATGTCCTCAGGCGGTCTTTTTTTTTTTTTTTTTTTTTTAGTAATAGAGATTTTTTTAGCTTTATCTTTGTAGTTTATAGCTTTATTGGAGCTTTTTTTTTGGTCAGACTCACAACATTTTAAATCATCTTGCTAGGCTCTTTGTTTTTGATTTTTAATATAAATATGGCTAAAAGTCCCCAGTAGGGCAAGGCTGTGAGTTTGATTCCTGGTACCAGAAAAAAAAAAGTCCCCAGCAATAGCCATGCCACTTTTTTAACATTTGACTGCCTTGAAAATTTTTTTGTCAGATTAATCAGTCTGTTGTTGTCCTTAATCTCAGTCTTAGGCAAAGTCTCTGGACATGAGCAAAATGTAGACAAACTTTTTGTCAAGCCATAACTCACATCGTCTGGAGTCTAACAACAATTGCAGTCTTTTTTTTAAAAAGAGAAACCTGAACCCAGTCTTTGCTAGCAGGATTTTTATCAGCTTTTTGATCTTTTGAGCTCTGACCAGAATCTCCCAAACAGAACAGCCAAAGGTGTTCGAGCTCTATTTTTTTAGGCGACATCTTTGAACCTTTTAAAACTCTTTTGATAAGCCATGTTTAAAGGCTCTTGAACCACATGGTTAGGTATAGTCACAGCAGTGACCCCACTCCTGGTACCAAGTTCTGTCTTAGTTACTTTTTTTTCGCTGCTGAGACAAAATGTCTAACACCCAGAATGAAGGAAGGAAAGCTTTATGTAGCTTATAGTTTGTGGAGGTTTGACTCTATGTTTGGCTGGCTCCAAGGCAGAGTGACACATGGCAAAGGGCAAACATTTACGGTGGCAAAACCCAGCAAAAACAAGAGGAAAAAAAATAGTGGCAAACAGCCTCTTTTTTTCCCTTACATTATAAACAGATGATTTTTATCTAAAAAACATAGAGCTCTTACATAATCTCTATGCCCTCCTCTTCCACAGGCTCAAAATATATATAAAATAAACACCCTGGCTTCCTACTAAGTCACCGAGCCAAACCTCTAAACTCTCCAAGTTAACACAATATATCAACCATAACAACTACATAAAGTACTTTCAAATTCAACAATAAAAAAGAAACAGCCCAATCAGAGCACAGATAGAAGATATACAGAGACAGTACACTGAAGAATTACAGGCAACACATGAGTAGAGTGTTCAACACCATCAACCACCAGGGAAATGTAAATAAACCAAGGATGAGTTGTCATTAAATACTTGCCATAAGTTAAAAATAAACAAGATTTAAAAGTGGCCCCAAGTGCTGAAAGGGATGCAAAGAAACTGCATTCTTCCCCTGTTTTTTGGAGGGATTGTGAAATGGTACAGCCATGCCAGAAAAATTTGTCAGTTTCTTTAAAACTACACCACTACCCTAAAGCATGATAGTTGCATTCTTTGGGGTTTACAGCGGGGAAATGAGACTTGTTCACACAACAACTTCTATAATAATGTTTATGGCAACTTTTTTCATAATAGCCAAAGAATGGGAAGGATCCAGAAGTCTTCCTGTGGGTGAATGATTAAACAAACAGGTACATCTATGCCATGAAATACCTCACAGTAAGAGCTTGGATGAATCAACAGAGAACTATGCTGAGTAGCAGAGGGTGATGTAAGGGGATGGATATCACCCAAATATATGCATTGAGCCCTCCAATAAAAATGTAATGCATGAAACAAAGGGGTGGGGTGAAAATGATCTAATATGTTATGTGGACATAGAAATCTGCCAAAATGAAAATGAAATCCATCTGCATCTTCAGTATGCTGTAATAAAAAATGATATCAGAAGGCATCTGAAAAATTTGCATACTGTGTGTTTCCACTCATATGTAATTTCTGAAATAATAAAACTATGGAAAGGGAGATGAGATCAGTGGTTGGTAGAGGTTAATGAGAAGGTGTGGGTGAGAAAGGAGTAGTTGTGATTATTAAAAAACAACATATGCTATTCCTATGGCGATGGAAATATACTTTATTTTGAGCAATGCGACTGGCGTAGAAGTTAAATGAAGAAAGTGATACTGTTAGTAATGATGGGGCACCGTCACTCTGATAGATTTCTCAGCTCAAAAGACTTCTGCACTCGTGTGTGCTGACGAAGGAAATGCTGGGATGAGAATCTTCACATAAATTACTAATAATAAAATATGGAGGTTAAACATGAGAATCCACAGAAGCAGGCGGCTCCCAATCAATCTGGCTGGTTTTCTACCAGATCGGTGCTTAGTGGAACTGCCTGGCGCCCTGCTGACAGCCTTCCCACCCAGATCTCATGGACTTCCAAAATTAGCACCATTACCAAAGAGGGTCAACGTCTGCATTTAGGAATGTCTACAGTGTTTTCTTGCTCTTTCCCTTAAGGTAATGTCTTGACTCCTTTATTTTGCCCAAGCACCTTTTGTTATTCGGAAGTGGCATCAGGCAGGACATGAAGCAACCTAACCGCAGGAGGCCTGTGGTCTGCTCACCTGAACAAGACCAAGTTGCCCACGGTGGTGGTGTGCAGATCCACAGGGCCTAAGAGTCTTCAGGGAGGACCCAGCTTCCAGTCCACTCCACATCTTGCTCCCACAGCCCCTTCCTGGCCTACCTCCACCAGCTGCTCTCTGCAGCTTCCCAGAGGGAGTGGTCACTGCTCATGCACGGTCCCACTTCTGATGAGGAGCTTATTTCTGTAGTGTGGCTCCATTAACGTGAAAGAGCGTGGGTGAGGACGGCTGAGAATCCCCTCTGCCGCAGTTGGTCCACAGCAACAGATATCTGGGTGCATGCCTGGCCATCACCAGATGTAAACACTTCCCTGTCCCCTCCTGCCTCACCGCATGAGAATTTATTTACCTGCACATTTTCCTTAAATTTACTAACTTATTTTTTTAAATCTTCCACATTATCCTTCTCCAAGACAGGAGGTTCTCCTTTCTGATCAATATATTGATCATCATTGACAGATCACATTCTAGCTACTCGGGCCGTTCCTCTCATTTCCAAGATTGTGAGTTCCGGGTATGAAGCTGCTGTGCCTCAGCCGTGCTGCTGTGATCCCAGAAATCCAACTGCGGGGTGAACATGCCAGGTGATGAATTATTTTACTGAGGGAAAAATAAAGCTATTCTAATCCAATAAAGTAGCTTTATAAAATATTTTATAGATGTCAATAGTTAAATAAGGTATGTCTTATATTAAAAATATATATAAAGTCCATTCTTTAATGTAGATATTAGATCATATTTGTAAAATAGGTTTTCTTGTTTTTTTCATTGTTTTAATTGGCACATAAAAGTTGTATGTGTTTACAGGTACCAGGTAATGTGTTGTTACATGTACACACTGTGTAATGTTCTGGTCAGAGAAAGCATATTTATGTGTTCAACTATTTTTAACTTCTTTGTGATGAAAATATTTAATATGCCTTCTTCTAGTGGTTTTAGAAATATACACTCCTTTACTATTACCTGATTCACCTTACTATGCAAGTGAATAGCAGAACTTAACTTCTCTCACCTAACTGTAAGTTACTACTTGTTAACCAGCCTTTCTCCCTCTCTCTACTCCTCATTCTCCTCAGCTCTTGGTAACCACTCCTCTTCTCACAGCTTCTCTGAGATCAACTTTTTCAGATCCCACCTTTGAGTGAAATTATGCAGTACTTTTCTTCCTGCACCCAACAGATTTCATGTAACAAAATGTCTTCCCATTCTGCGCATGTTACCCCAATGAGAGGTTCTCCCCTTTTTATGGGCGAGTAGTATTCCCCTGTGTATATGTGCCACATGTTACTCACCCATTTGTCAGTTGGTGAGCGCGTAGGTCGATTCCACATCTTGGCCGGTGTGACCAGGACTGTAATAAGCAGGGCAGTGCAAATGTCTCTGGCAAAATCAGTTTTCTTTCTGGGCACAGAAACCCAAATTTCACTTTATCTTGAGAGAGAAAACACTAGAAAATAAACTGATAATTAACTCTAAAAAATAATTAATGGAAGGTACAAGAAGTTCTGATATCAAGGAATTATTTATTGAAGAATAATTAACACATAATTGTGAAGGTCACGGCAAGGGTAATGGGGACTCCAGGGCTTAGTGTAACTGCACTACTGTCTATGGCCTAGATGCGAGGGGGAGGCCCCGCGGAGAGACGAGCAGTGCCTAATGTATAGAAGGAAGCTCTTTTGCAAATCTCTGACTGGTATCAGAAAATAATAATGCTTGTGGCCAAGCAGGACATGGAAATTTTAATTTGGATGACACTTTCACATTGGTATGACAATGGCGGGCTCATGGTTAGGAGTCAGATACAAAGTTCAACAGGAGGATCCACAGGTGCTGGGGCGGCAGCAAGTTGTACGACAGCAGGTGGTCTGGCAGCAGACTGGGCGGCAGCAACTGGACACTCCACAGCTGGGGCGGCAGGTGGTCTGGCAGCAGACTGGGCGAGAGCAGCTGGACACTCCACAGCTGGGGCGGCAGGTGGTCTGGCAGCA